GAAACGAACTCACATTGTGTCCTTGTGCTTAACCCTGAATTAGAATGGCCATTTTCACGTTACATCCCGTTAATGCCTGTAAGTCTGTAAGCCCCGTGAGTACCACATGCTGTACGCCGATTTTTTTTTGACAAAAATAGCAGAGCTCTGTACAGAACACCGTTATAAATCTCCATGAAACAAAGTGGCTACTTGAACCACTCACGCAGCCACAAAGGTTCCAAATTACTAAACGTGACATGTTAGTTACCATGAACTAGTAAAATGGACTGGAAAGTGGAAAGTGCCCCCTCCCACTAAGCCGAACCGCTCACTCCAGTAATCCCATAGCAAATTCTGGCTATTCATCAGTAAAAAGCCAAAAGGGATTAGGTCATGAAACCCTCTCCTTGATGTTAGTTTCTTTTTACTTACTAACGCTACATATCGAAAAGGGGAATATTGATTAAAAGGACCCTAAAAAGGTATATTTCGAAATCAAGTTCATGTATCTCATTCGAGAACTCTTTTTGATGCTTCTATGTGATTTGTTTGTCTTTCTGATTAAGTTGAACACCGACCTTGATAAACAGCTTTAGGAAAAAAACTTATGTGCTCTAGAAATTTTGAACTCTTTATTTCCCGCGCTTCAATTTTGAACTTTCTAGAGCAACTTCTATACTGATGAGTTGCACTCAATTAGAGGCCATAGCATGTTTAATGAGCTCGTTGCCGTTATATTTACTGCTTCACTAACTGCCTCGTTTTTCTTCAAATGACGTCTTCAAAGCTTAAATATTGCGAAATCCTGGACCTCACTCGAAGAACCTCACCTAATTCGAGTTCGACGATTTGTTAAGTTAGAGAAGGCTTTTCCTCATAGCAGTGTCGCAATGATCCTCATAGCAAGTCTTTAGTACCCCCACTTTCGACAAGTTAAGGTTACCACAGAAAAATCTGCTTGCAGAAATTCCGCGCCCCGATCGATATCCGCGCTCCACGGCGAACATTAGATTTGCAAGCACGCCGCCTACTGTATTGTCTGGTTCGATGTCCCAAATTTCGCAGCGTACGCTATTCACTCATTGCTCGCCGTGATTGCGTGTGGTTGGTTGTGAGCTGTTGTTGGTTTCTAGCTAGTAGTTGTTCGTTGTAGAACTCTCCTCGACTACATCATGCGTGAAATCGTTCATGTACAAGCCGGTCAATGCGGTAACCAGATTGGATCAAAGGTGTGTCCTTTTTTTCAAATATGTCATCCATGAAAAATTAGTGTAATGCTCAAGAAACTAGCTAAACTAGTTCCAGTCGGTCAGTTTCGTTTCCCACTTTCTTGTCATGCAGTTAGGAAGGTATAGGAAGGTAGGGTTGTCTATTACTATACGAGTGGCCTTTGGCCAGTGGTGAGTCATCGCTGTATTGGTTTCGGCTCTGCACGGACACCCTGCAATGACTGGCGACTATACGAAATTTCCTGAATGAAAAAGTAGCGCGGGGCAGCAATGGAGCCCCAAAAAAGTAATATGAGAGCGATTTCGGAATGCGATAGGCCGTAATCGTTCTTCCTGTTGACAGACATCTTCACGCGTACTAGTATTGAGGTCATCAGACTGGCGCTAGAATCAATAGTTTCATGAAGATCTCATCAGCTATGTGGGTAAAAAAGACATTTGCAAGGGCTTGCATTAGCGAAGGTAAGTCGGGGATTAGTTTTCCTTTGTATTTGAACACATCGAGGATCGATTCTTTGTCAAGGGCACTTAAACCTACTTCATTAGTTCCGGCGTCGATGGCATCAAGCCTGATCTAGTTACCTTCGGGTAGATTGGGAGATGCTTTGCCATCACCTTCTCCAGAGTCTGAAAAGTCGAACCAGTTTATGGCTACCCAGTCAAACGTCGCTACTGCTGAAGTTTGGGACCAACGCAGATACCACGTAATTGTAAGAAGGGCCATTTACCGCAACACAGTCCGACCTTCGAGACCAATAAGCTGGCAGTGGGATCGTTTCGGAAGTGTTCCTCATGCGGGGTCATATTGGAAAACCACCCTCCCCCCCTAAGGTCTGAACTTCAGCGTTATTGTGACGCACTCTTCCCGCCGGCTGGATATGTGACCTGAATCCAGACTGGCTTGAGGGTCTGGCGTTTCCTGGGCTGACGCTAGGACAAGAATCGCTTACCGCATCTTGCAGGAAAGCGCAAGCTTCGATGCGCAGTCAAGCTTCATAGACTCTTGATCAGTGCGGTTGAGCCAAGTCCAATGGAGGTTGAGGGGTGGCTCTTCTTGAAGCTGGCAGAGGTCTTCGGTCCCACAGGCTACGTCTGAAAGAAAGATCCAATCCGAATAATCTTTTTTACGAAATGTGGAACTTCGAAGTTGCTTGATGGAGATGGTTCAAGCCAGTCGGTGGTGTGGTTGAGTTAACTCATCATGCGACAGCTTTTCCACATTTCGTGAAAACACGGTCCACTCATCCGTGTTCGGTTCGTCTCGAGCTTACTCGGAAGTGTCGTCAAGTCGAAGTGGGCGCATTTGCTATGATTGTAGCTCACTAACGTGTTTTGGAAGGCTCGAATTCGAATCTGCTTTCGAAATTTGCAGAACGATCCTCTGAACGGAGTTATGGAGCTTTTTTCCACCGCGTTTACCACGCAGCAGGTCGTGGGATCGGATCCGCTGCGACTTAAATTTTTATGCTTCTTGCGCAAACATGGCAAAAAGTGGTTGTGGCGTCTTTACTTTATTAGCGCTCTCGTTTACTTGCGTGAGAAGCAGTTTGCGTTCACTTAGTGGCGCGCATAGTGCCTTATGATCTAGAGAATTTTTGAATTACAGGGCCGCACTTGGCGGCAAGTGCAGGCGTTTTCGCGCTGACGAGTGCCGATATTACTGTGTTTGGGGGCGAACCAACGCTAGTCACCATCTGGCTCAGGTTTCTAAACAAATCTGGCATTTAGACCTGACTCGAAAAAGTGAAGGCATCGCATGGTTAGATTCAGTTGACGTTACCGATCTATCAGCTGCAAGACAATTCTCCTGCACAATCCTCGTCTTGCCACTTCTTACGCATTCATATTGTTACTGCTCCACTTTCCCTGCTATCTCAAAGCAAATTCCGTCCAAAGACAAAGTTGCAGTTTGACAAAGAGACTGGCCCTGGAACTATTGGTGACCATCATTCGATCAACTGCTACCGCACTTTTCATAGTTAGGTCAAAACCTCACTTCTGGCTAGAAACTTGTCTCCAAGGGTAGTTTTGCTCCTCTGAACACGAATATGGCACCCATTTGGCATTTGAGTGTTTTCTAGACCTAAATGAGACTTTCCCCACAAAATGCAAAACAAGTTCCCTTCCAGAAATTCGAACCCTTCAATGCATGCCCACAAAGCAAGAGCACTTCCACTGCGCTATGCTGCCGTTGAACCTTGAGGTGCTTCCCGGCTATTAAGCGAAGACTGGCAACCGCGCTCGACTCCCGTTTTCCGCTTCATTTCAATACACAAACTTCATAACTCCTTTTCATCGATAGTTCTGTCACATTTTGAAAGACATAATCGGAGATTCAGCGTGCCGAAACTCACGTCTATTGAGCTAGCAACGCATTACAAATGGGCCACTGACCTGACGACCTTCGCTAGTTTAGATTATACTGATTTATATGTGATATTGCCAGGCCTCGTGCACAGTCGCCCTGACATAGGTCTACAATTCTTACTTGTTATTCTTACGATTATTTTTTGAGTGATTCGCTACCAATTGCTTACTTACAGTTCTGGGAAGTGATCTCCGATGCACACGGTATCCAACCGAGGAAGATACAAAGGAAATTCAGAACCGGCTGCAGATTAGAGAATCAATGTTTACTACAATGAAGCACATGGTTGGTTTGATTTGATATCACTCTTCACAAGTTCTAGTTTTTTGAAATTTCCTGCCAAACTTACGTGGCTTCCTTTATTTGCAATGTGTTCTAGCGTGAGATTCAACATCGCATATCAGTTATACTTTATACATTATACATTGCTGCATATATATGTTTATTTATGCAAACGTGGGCAATCACAGATTACACTTAAGAAAATGCAAATGAGGGTTGTAGTGCAGTGGTCGCACAGTTGTCTGCGTAACCATTTCTATGAAGTTCTTGTATTCGGATTTAAGCCTGGAGAATAAAATGGAGTGCTTGCTTGGCTGTCCGACGAGTAACAACATATAATATAAGAAGACGTGAAAAAGGTGTCATTTTGAAGGAGCGAGTTTCTCATATCGTTGTCTGGATGGTCATCGCAGGTAGGTCGTAGTTAGTCAATGCTCCGACAGCGTAGATTATAATTTAAGTACTAACGTTGTTCGCGGCTCAGGTTATAGCGCCTCGGGAATGTCTTACTCTTAATAATGCGTTCTAGAACGAACATTGACTGAGCGACCATCAGTAACAGATAAAGTGGCGTACCGACGAACCCTGAGCCTGCCCATGTCCAAACCAATTAGTGAAGTCACTCCAATTAGTTTTAAGTTGTTATTGTTAGGCTCTTTCGGATGCGCGCAACTGCCGTCGACGCGGTTAAACGGTTTCTACATCAAAAACTGCTGAACTGAAGATTGAGAAACCTTCAGCCTTGCGGTTCACTGCCGATATCGGCTAACCGGCTCATCACGTTGAACGTGTAAGTGCTCAAAAATAGGCAAAAGTTTCCTCATTATGCGTGGCTGGTGGTGGACTTCTAATTTGCAAGGCCCCATGCCATTTGCCTGCGGCAGCACACTCCCACTAATGCTGATTTAAACGTCGATCAATCAATGAATAGGTGAGAGCTGTCACAGTTTTTGTTAGAGAATATCCGTCAGCGCGAATCGTGCTCCTAGAAAGCCTCTAATAAATGGACGGAAGTGCTCTGCTTGGTGTACGACTTTGTAAATTATTCAGTTATTTCCCTAGTCATGTTTGATAGAAATGTTTTTTAAGGAGGCAAATATGTCCCACGTGCTGTACTTGTTGATCTCGAGCCCGGAACAATGGATTCTGTTCGTTCTGGACCATATGGACAACTATTCCGTCCAGATAATTACGTGTTTGGCCAGTCAGGAGCGGGTAACAACTGGGCAAAGGGCCACTATACCGAGGGAGCTGAACTCGTCGACAATGTCCTAGATGTTGTTCGTAAAGAGGCTGAGGGCTGCGATTGCCTTCAGGTAGGCCCTATTGCGAATTTGCTGTTTTTGTACTGCCGGTGATTCATATTCATTCATTCATTTAGGGCTTCCAACTTACGCATTCTCTTGGAGGAGGTACCGGATCCGGTATGGGCACTTTGCTTATTTCAAAAATTCGTGAGGAGTACCCTGATAGAATTATGGCTTCGTTCTCTGTTGTTCCTTCACCAAAGGTGAGTCAGCCTCAACTTTGGGCCTTATAGTAGGTGCTATTTTGGACTGGATGGGATCGCAAATCACTACCATTTCAAGGTTTCCGACACCGTTGTGGAACCTTACAATGCTACTCTTTCTGTTCACCAACTGGTAGAAAATACCGATGAAACGTTCTGTATTGATAATGAAGCTCTGTATGATATCTGCTTCCGCACATTGAAGCTCACAAACCCAACTTATGGAGATCTCAACCACCTAGGTGAGTATTGCTGCGAATAAATAGCGTTTGTCACCTTTCCTGTGATAATAAATGGAATTGCAGTGTCTGTCACAATGTCCGGAGTCACGACTTGCCTCCGATTCCCTGGACAACTAAATGCTGATCTTCGCAAGTTGGCCGTGAACATGGTTCCATTCCCTCGTCTTCACTTCTTTATGCCCGGTTTTGCCCCATTGTCTGCTAAGGGTGCTCAAGCATATCGCGCTTCAACTGTCGCTGAGCTTACACAGCAAGTACGTGGACGTTCTTCTTGTTCTTCGAGGCGTGAAGGCTCTTGATAACTGATAAGCACATTTTTAGATGTTCGATGCCAAGAACATGATGGCTGCCTGTGATCCTCGCCATGGACGCTATCTTACGGTGGCTGCCATGTTCCGTGGTCGCATGAGCATGCGGGTGAGAACAACGTTGATTATTTCTCAAAATAAACCTGACTCATAGGTGACATATGAGACGACGTCGATTAGTTTTCATCGTAACTGTTCTATGGGACTACAAATGGAAGGTTGCTTTATAAATAGAGGGGGTGCCATTGCGTCACAAACGTATGTAGTGCTAAGCAACAGAGTCATTATTTCCACCTGCTGAGTACTAAGTTATAAAAGCGAGTAAAAAAAGCGTTAGCATAAGAAAATTCAGGAAGGAAATCGAACATTGATGGCTTGGGGGAAAATGGGGAGGGAGGGAATGAAATTTCATCTTGAAAACTGACACAGCGTTTGGGGACTCTGTACGGTCACTCAGAAGGTGGATTACTTCCGTTTGCGACGTGAACGGCTCCTGAGTTGTAAGGGCGCGGACGGCTTGGTAGGGGCATTTTACTGGTTCCCATCGATCACTACCGATACCTTCTTTGGAGATTTGTCAAGTTTCTGAAAAGCTCTGCCATAGAATGAGCTCCATTTACACTCAACGGGAGATCTCACCGAGGTGAAACCTGTAATTCAATGGGAACTAGCGAAGGTACAGAATGCCCCCCCCGCTCCCCTGGGCCATATAGCGCTGTTGTAAGCTGCCCTTCTGTCACTCGAAAGTGCGCATTAGTGAGGCTGGAGGCTTACGATACCTTTATGTTCTTAATGTCTACCCGCCTCGCGTCACCAGGAAGCCTTTAGAAAGGAAAGTAGTAGGTTGACTGAGGCAGTGCGCGGGTTGTCCGGCGGGATCTC